ACCTATTTAGTTTATATCATAGGTAAACCACCCTCACAACCCCTTCACAAGCTCACTTGTGCAATGTACACATGGAGTCCCATGCCCCCACATATACTAAGCAAACCCATTAAGAAGTCATAAGTGTAATTCACATGCATAAACATACTTCATGTCTTGACATAAGTAAAATTAGCCTTGTCATGCTTTCATATTAACATACATAGACCATAGTCTTCATTACATAAGGAGCCTAATCATAACCTCCCTTAGAGTCCACTTGTGCAATGCATAAGCAGGGTCCATAGCCTTACCTACACTAAGTAACTCTTCAAGAAATCATGACTAGAGTTCATATTCTTATCTTAGTTCATTTATTAATTTTCGTGAGACATTGCCATAACCGACATAGACCATGTGAGCTACATGGAATCCGGTGTTCTACTCCCTCACCGAAAAGAGAGGGTATTACTTGCCAAAGTAGGACCAACATACATAATAGCTATCTAGTGGATCCACTAAGCTTAAACCTACAGGAGTACATAGTTATGGAACAAGGAGATTGCTACTAGAAAACCTTGAATTACTAAGCGTGGAGGTTTCCATCTCATGAGACAACATATATGTTAAGAACCCAAAGTTGCTAAACGTGAAGGTTCTCTTGTGGGAAGCCGAATTTGCTAAACGTTAAGCCCCCACTCTCATTTTTCATGTTCACTCGGTGCTAAGCTCCAACTCCCTTTTTAAACATCTTTAAGCCTTTATTTAACATTAGTTCATAAAGTAGGCTATAGGGACTTAATCCCTCATATCATATAGCTCAAAGGTTTCTAAGATGAGAATGACCTTTCGTCATAAAACCTACATTATGTGAGAATGACCTTTCACATAATCATACCATATTCATAACATAGTCTAGTTTAGAGTACAATTGAGGAAACCTTTCAAGAGACTTACTTTCACTAGATTATCATAACCTTATTCATTCATTCATGTGTGTGTACATATGTGAGAAAGCCTTTCACATAAACACCTTTATACAACACATATTCATACCTTGCTATCATAGACTTTGCATGCATAATAAGATGTAAGGGTGCATATAAGAGTTAACCTTTCAATAGACACCACAACACATCATATTCATATCTATACATGTAGACTGTGTGCATGCGCATATTGGTCCTCATAGTGACATATTAGCAACAACATTGATGTTAAGTGTTCTTCCCTTAAAGGGATCACAACACATTCACAATGTCCCCAATTCATAAGCAATACACATATAAAGCCCTTAGGGATCCTAGACCACAAACCCACACTTCATCATAGGAGACAAGGACACATTCAACATTGAATAGGTACTCCTAACATGTATATGATCAAACATTCATATAGGGGTCATATAGATAGGGGTCATTCCACAATAGTACCTAACATAATCAATCATGTAGACCACACTTTATCCCTAACATTATCCTTCACATTATACTCCTCATCATCAACACACTTAAAACTTCATGCTAGCATTGAAGATTTCATACATAACCTTCATTGCATAACTTCATAAACATATGCATCATAATCATCAATTAACTCCACATCTATTGCCTTCAAGGCCATGATCTCAACATGCATAGATAGACAAGAAGTGAACACCTCCACCATAAGTGGATCAAACCACACAACATAATTTCTCATACTATAGACTAGAAGTTAGGTCAACTTACCAATTCTCCAAGCTATGATCACCATGGATCAATCCTCAACAATTCATAATCAATTGACATAGGTAGTAATAGGAATCAACAATGTAATTCAGTATCATAAACATAGTCTAAGTACAATTCCATAAACAAAGGGATCAACCCATAACTTTGCCCATAAGGCCATAATCCTCAACTCATCAATATACCAACAATTCAACATGAATAAGTATAGATAATCATAAGAAACATCAATACAATCTAATCTAAACATAATTTCACCAATAGAGACCATATTCACAAAGACCCACATCATAGGCCAATTTTTGAGTATTTGGGGATCATGGGTTCTTCAAGAAATCCTTTGAAAATTGTCTTAAAAACATTAATTCCACAATAATTCATCAGTAGAATTATTTAGAAAATCTTTAGACAAGGAACCTATGTTTAGATTGAAAATTGGGAATTTTTGTCTTTGAATCACTTTCGAAAATCTTTGATAGAACTCCTTGAATGAGAGGTTGTTCAAGAATCAAGAGTCACCATACCTTAATTATTGAAGACCCATGAAATTGAAGAAGAAATCAGTTAAAAACCCATCTTCTAGCTTGAGCTTCATCAAGGTTTTCAATGGAGTGTTTGAGAGAATATATTTTGAGAGGGAAGGGTCAATTTGAAGAATGTGGTCTAATTTTAGGTTTTGGAGTTTTAACCAACTTAAAATACCTTAAAATAGGTAGAATAACCGTTTATATTAATTCCCCAAAGTACCCAAAGTACCCCTCACTTAGTTGGACCTTTTTAAACAAGTCAAACTTGAGTTTTATTTTCGCAGATTTCATCGGGACACAAGTTCGCAACGCGGAGGTGTTCTCACAAGTTTTCTGGAAATTAAATTCGAGACAATAGACTCTGCAATATGTCCGCGACGCGGACCAAACAGTTGGCCCTTGGTGGAGCTAGTCCGCGACGCGGACATGCTCCCTCCAAGCACAACTTCAAGCTACTTTCGCAACTTGCTTGACCAAGGTTGGGGTCCTCTTCGGGGACCCTTAGAGTGACCCCCGGGGCGTCGTATCTGAACGTTTTGACCCTAAAAATATTTATTAAGACAGTAGGTCCACTGATTTTAGACTCCAAACAACACATAAAAACATGAACAACATACTAGAAAACACCAACACGTAAAAGACTAGTTTCTGAACGTCTTGGTCGTCCCTTGACATTTGACTTCCAAACACTTTAAAACTGACCTAAAAGGCTATTATTCATTATTTTGACAAGTTATTAATGCATAAAACTCATGTGAGGCTCTACTTTATCCTACTACATTTCGAAGGTCGTTACAATTGTGTCCTGTCTACAATAGGTAACTAAATCCACAGCTAGGGTTGTGGGAACCATGAGTGATTAATAAAGTATGAATAGTAACTAAGTAATTCTTGAATAGTGTTATTGGATGCATTGATAATTCTATCGTTTAGAAGTATTTTTAGCGGTTGCAAACGTTAGAACTCGCCTTGTTAATATTTGTCGGACCAAGGAGGTAGGTAATAAGAAAAGAATTATCAACATAGATTTAGTGTGATACTATCTAATAGTCAAATGTCAATTGGTGCGAGGGTGAAAAGTAAGCCATACATTGATGTGATGTTTAATATGAGGTAAAGGTAAGGGTTAGTAAATTATACACACGTAGCCGGACCAATGTGCAGGGTGAAAATCTCTATTTGCCAGACTATGAATTTAGAGATACATAACTTATCACTTTGCATGTAATACAGTAGGAAAAGTTTACTATTACTAGGAATTGCCGCGTTATGAGCTTATGGGGAACACGTACACCCTAGTTTCTTACTCTCATTGATAACAACAAAGTTTGAATCCTGTTCAATTATTACCCAACTACAATCAAGTGTTTGTTTCACAAAACCCCCCTCCTCCTTTACTTACTTGTTTGGAAATACGTTGACTAAACGAATATAATGATAAGTTAAATTTAAGTCTAAACCATATTCCTCATGGGATCGACCCCAACCTCAAAGTTGGATTCTTTACTTGATAACGATCGCTTATAGTTCTTTATGGAGGTGTAATTTGAGCATATCAATTCATACCACAATTTACAGTCCTATAGCTACACTTTTAAGTGTGGTAATATTATTTTGGCTATAAAATATTTATATGCCACAATATCTAATTAAAAAATACCAATATTGTTTTGCAATAAATAATCTCAAGCATCAAAATAGCAAATAAGTAATTAAAATGTATATATTTGCAATAAACTTCAAAAGATAGTATGTCTTGTGTACATACACATACTTATAAAGCAATATTCTAAATATGTGTACACAATAGCTCGAAAAGTACTCTTACAATAGTTCAATATATTCTAGCAATGAATATATTTCACAAAATTAAATATAATGTACTCAAACTTTTACAATAGTTCAAAAACTCTTCATCATCCACTTCAACGAGATCAAATTGACTTGTGGCGACCCTTCAAATTTGATCCCCTCAATTTCCCTACACATTTAAAATAAAATTAAAAATCAAAACAAATTATGTACAACAAATCAAATTACAGCAGTTATAGAAGAGGCAAGAAGTTCTATTGGAGTGAAAAGGCAAGAAGTTCTGTTGCAGCAGTTCTCGAATTAACTAGCTAGAATTTTCCGTGTTTAGGTAGTTATAGAAGAGCTCAACACTTTCCCGATTGCAGTAGATTGCAGATTTCCAAATTTATAGCAGATTGCAAATTTGCAGATTTATAGCAGATTGCAGATTTGCCGATTTATAGCTCATTGGAGTAGCTATATCCAACTCAAAGTCCACTTCAGGCCAAAGAACAAGGGCAGCAGGAGAAATATCCAAAGATACTCTAATGCAGACATGTAAATCAGGATAGCAGTGTGTATAGGGCAATGATCTGAGCTCAAAAAAGGAAAATGTGTAACTGTAGTGAGAGGCATCTGAGTGAGCCAATTGTCATTTATCATAGCTTTGTCAAGCCTTTTCCAAACCACATCATTCAGACCTCTATCATTGCCCTCGTAGGTTTCAGAAGACAGAAAATCCTTAAGAAATCAACAACACAACATCATACTGCAATTGAAAACCTTTAGATATTTCCAAGTGCGCATCAGTTTGAATTCACTAAATGTAGAGCTACTTTAAAATGTGCATCGAGTTCCACAAGCGATAATATAAACATTTATTATTTTAGGGGTAGTGTAACAACTACACTGCAACACTATCTTTTTTCTCCCTTTGACACCTTCAATAGCTAGAATCCTAATGACTATATCTTAGACTTACATATTGTAGCATGTTTTTGCTTTCACAGTAAATGGAAGTATTGCTCTTTATATTTCCATACATACAAAGCCATGAAAGTTAAATAGTGAACCAAAAATCGCACTATGATATAACTAAATAAGATACTTATTTGTAAAGGGATCTAGAGGAAATTTTATTACCATAAATTTACTTGGATCCATGTAAAAATGCTAAAGAGATTTCTTTATGGGATTCTTCTTCCATAGGGCAATGTATAGTCTTGGCTGAACCTTAAGAATAGCCACCAGTGCCTTCAACCTGCAAGAGACAAACAAATAATAATGCAGCAGCAACCATTATTCTAGCATTGAAGGTAACACGATAATTATACGCTTGTAAAAATTGACAGTCTTTCAAAGTTTAAGAGATAAAGTAGCTTACTTTTACCATAGAACAAACAGTTAACAATATGGAAACTATAGATTAAGTAGAAGCCCCAAAATACAATAGAAAATAGTCAAGGAAAAACATGCTAAATTGGGATCAGAACTCAAACATCCTTGTTGGAGTCAAATGGAGCATAGAGGATTGTAGAATGCACCACTAACGGATGGATATCTCTTTATGTCGATTAGAAGTGGTGATAAAATAAGTTCATAAAAAAACAGAAAGTTTAGATTTAACTCATGATTTTGACTAGACTAACTTTGAAAATGTTCCTCATATAGTTATGATCTTGCTTGCTTCGAATGTATAGTCTTGGCTGAACCTTAAGAATAGCCACCAGTGCCTTCAACCTTCAAGAGACGAACCAATAATAATGTAGAAGCCACCATTATCCTAGCATTAAAGGTAACACGATAGTTATACGCTTGTAAAAATTGACAGTCTTTCAAAGTTTAAGAGATAAAGTAGCTTACTTTTACCATAGAACAAACAGTTAACAATTTGGAAAGTATAGATTAAGTAGAATCCCCAAAAAATAGTTGAAAATAGTCATGGAAAAACTTGCTAAAATTGGGATCAGAACTCAAACATCCTTGTTGGAGTCAAATGGAGCATAGAGGATTGTAGAATGCACAGTAAAGGAAGAATATCTCTTTATGTCGATTAGAAGTGGTGATAAAATAAGTTCATAAAAAAATAGAAAGTTCAGATTTAACTCAAGATTTTGACTAGACTAACTTGGAAAATGCTCCTCATATAGTTATGATCTTGCTTGCTTTGATAAGATTAAACAGATAAATGCAAGAGCTTAAAACATAACAACAATTTAATTAGAGAATTTCTCACGGAAGTATTGGTTATAATGAAACTGAAAAGTAACAAATAAGGAAGATTCATTGTATTTCTACCCTAAAAAATGTTCGTATTAAGAGAACAATTGAGGCTAAGATAGTGCATGATTCATTGCCTAGAGAGGTCATCAGAAAAACTTATGTGGCTTTGTACAATACACATGTTTATGGACATTGAGAAATCCAAACTTAAAAAATGGAAAATAGCATAAGCACTTAGCATGGGCTCTTTTTTATCTGGTTCTTATCAACGTAATCTTGGTGAATAAGAGAACCATTTGCAGTAAATACAGTCCTCTTAACTTGTTGTAAGAAAATAAGAACTCTAACATCTTGATCAGCGAAGCACTATTAACTTCAGGGTCTTCATAGCACATTGTGCTTACATATGATAGAAGCAACTATTGTGATTATGAGACAATATTATGTCAATATATTCCTTCATAAGATTCAAGCCAAATGTGCTTACTTGTTTATAGAGCAGCAAGTGACAGTGGTATAGTAGCAGCAAGAGTTTGTAGAATCACCTACATGATCCATCACATTTTGTTTAAAAAATTGCAATAGAAACTAAGAAGGGGAAAAATTGAAGAGATACAATAACAAAGTCTACTTTGCCAATGAAATAGTATACATATGAGCTAAGTGTTATATGAAGGAAATAAAGAATTAGCATACAAGCTAAACACTTACCGAGCAAAAGAAATTTGTCCCACTATTAAAAAAGGTATTTAGAAAGATTAGGAAAATCACTCAGCGTGCTATGACACTAATGTAGCATTGGAGATGCACTACCTGTAGAAGAACAATATTTCTTGTGAGTCAGGGTATCAATGTGTGGTGAGTATAATACATTATGTACTAATCAACTAAATTGAAATATAAATAATCTATATCTAATGTCACATTAGCACAGTGGCGGAGCCAAATTTTTTATCAAGGGTGTCAAAATATAAAGTATTTTTTATCAAGAGGTGTCGAAATATAAAGTAAAAAAGTAAACATTGCTATCAAAAATAGAACACACAACCTTCAACAAGATTTGCAACCCCTTAACCACTACACTAAACCTTCAACTTGTGTCAAGATATGTCAACACTTTTATATATAGTCATTATATTAAATTTTTACCTATATATACAATGTAATTTTTTGACGAAGGGATGTCACTCGACAACCTTTCTCTCGGGTAGATATGCCCCTGCATTAGCTTAACTTATATATATTTTCGATATTTCTTTGGCGGAGCATTCTGGCTCATCTCAACATGTCAATTCTTTGCCTATACAAATTGAGTAGACGACATTCAAGACTTTTTCATCTATTTACTATACATGTTTTTCATTCTTTAACCTAACAAGCACGTAGCAGATCACTTTTTCTGTTTAACTTTTTAGCCACCTCTAAACTTCTAATATTCTTCATTCTATTTTGTTCATTTTCATAGCTTTCTTGTTGCTCGAAGAGTTTTTTTTCTCCTGTCTTTACATCTCTCTTTTTTAATCTATGGTATATGTGTGATAATGACAAATTGAATTCGACTCTTTTATAATACATAAAGGTTATTTTTTAGAATGTTATCTAACGGTAGGAAAGTATATTCTCTCATATTCTCAATTAAAATTTGGATCCCTAATAACAAAATTTGACAAAATATCGAGCATGTAGAGCAACCCCAAAGCACAATCAGAAAATCTGCAAAAATTGCTAGAAACCAAATATAATCGACACACACCACAAACAGAGAAGAGGTAAAAGGGCTAATCGTCACCATCACAAACAAAAGAACCAAAAATTCAAGCAAAGAGATAACACTAACCTTAACACAGCGAGACCTACAAAAGAGAAGACTATTGAACAGAGAAAGCTAAAGTAAACAGATGAAAATTGGGGATAGTATGAAAAGGTTTTAGGAAAGACATATGAAACAATAAGGAACAATTAACTTCTTTATCATGTCTATTTAATCTTGACTGTTAGCTCAGAAAAAAGAAGTCATTAGACCTTCTCATACTAAAACGTCTCAACAATTACAATCTCATTTGAACTAGTTACAATATTTTAATTACATTTCAGAGAGAAACTACTCTATTTTTAGATGAAATTTCACACAAGTTTAACTTGGCCTATAGGGAATTCAGGCCTTCCGATTGAAGAGGTTCAATGTTAAATGAAATATTTGATGTTGCAATATCATGCGAAGTCAAAAGGGTAATAGTCAGGTTAACTTTATAGGTCTCATCTTGAAGGGTGGATCTTGGTAAACCTTAGAAGTTGATGGGAGTAAAATCCTCTATTATCATAAATGCATACATGGTGAGGTAAGGATCTACAATAACAAAACCAAAGTAAGAGAGAAGACGATTCAGACCTTGCTCCAAATCGTTGGCAAGTCCCAATTATTGAGCATTCGAATTACGTTTGTCTTAATTGTCTGCAAAATTAACCAATAGATTTCATAAATTTCCTTTTGAAGGAATCTAACTTCAGAAAAAGTAACAATTAGTAGAAGGACACTTATGCAATTCCTTAAACTTATCAATATTATGCCGTAAAAATAGGGGAAGCAGGGCAAGCGAGGTACAAATTTTGTCAAATTCAGCCAACAATGGGTCAGCAATATTTGAATCTACAATGGCTCAGAAGCATCTGCAAAAGATGAGATCAACAGAAGGATATAAACACGACAGTTCCTGTAAAAATAGAGTGATAAACACTATGCTTTTAAAGAGAGCGTCAACAACATTTTTGAGCATCGATCATTGTAGTATAATATGATCTAATCAACCTGGTAATCTTCATTGTTGTTGTTTTCAGCAAGAGAACTCATATTTACTCAAACATATCTGCAAAAATCGACAAACCAAAAGTAAGGTTTTTCCATTGCGAATTCGACAAACGAAAAGAATTGATTTCATTGAAGATTCCCTTTAGATGAGCGATGAAAATTGATGAATAGTTGAGAGTTACAATGAGAAACCCGTAGAATGAAAGAAAAAACGTCGGAATGAAATATAGGGCATCTTACTTTTTAGAAATTGGGGGAAACATATATATGGGGAAAAATTATTATTTTCAGCTAAAAATTTTATAGGGCACACTTGTAAAGTGTTGTTTTTAGAGTTTCAAATATCACACACTTAAAAGTGTGGTCATATATATAAATAAGCATTGTCAATTATTTTATGAATTGGCAACGCTTATGATGTGTATCCTATAATTACTAAGAGCACACTTTGAAAGTGTTGCCAAAGTTTACGTTGCCAAAAATCCTACAACGCCTTGAAAGAGTTCCCTTAGATATTTGTGGCAACACTTTTTAAGCATTGTCTAGAAATGTTGTGGCCTTAGACAAAATTTGTTGTAGTGTACCTTTGGTGGAATCCACTAGTTGGACACCTAGCCAGGCCAATCTATGCACCTCACGAACCAATTCTTTCTTTTCATCCTCTACATGAGTCACACTACCCATGGATAATCTACTAAGTGCATCCGCTACCACATTAGCTTTGTCGGGGTGGTAAAGGACACTCATGTCATAATCCTTCAAGAGTTCTAACCACCTTCTTTATCGGAGATTCAAGTCCATTTGACTAAAAACATAATGAAGACTCTTGTGATCGGTGAAAACATCCACATGGACCCCATACAAATAATGCCTCCATAATTTCAAGGGAAATACCACCACCGCTAATTCAAGATCATGGGTCGGATAATTATTCTTGTGCACTTTAAGTTGCCTTGAAGCATAGGCAATCACCTTACCATTTTCCATAAGCACACATCCCAACCCAACTCTAGAGGCGTCACAATACACCACAAAATCATATGTACCCTCTGGTAAGGTTAGCACCAGAGGGGAAGTAAGTCTATCTTTCAATTTTTGGAAGATTTTCTCCCAAGTTTCCAACCACCAAACTTAGCCTTCTTTTGAGTCAAAGTCGTCAACGGAGAAGCAATAGAGGAAAACCCCTCAACAAACCTCCTATAGTAAGCGGCCAAACACAAAAAGCTTCTAATGTCGGAAGGAGTTAGAGGTCTAGGCCAACTCTTGACCGCATCCGTCTTCTTAGGATCTACCTCAATACCCTTGCTTGACATAATATGAACAACGAAGGCTACAGATCTCAACCAAAATTCACACTTGCTAAACTTTGCAAAAAGTCGTTGGTCCTTGAGAACCTACAATACAATCCTCAGATGGTCCACATGTTCATTCTTGCTTCTTGAATAGATCAAAATATCATCTATAAATATAATCACAAATATGTCAAAGTATTGCCTAAACACTCTATTCATTAAGTCCATGAATACCACCGGGGCATTTTCAACCCAAATGACATAACCACAAATTCATAGTGACCATAGTGGGCCCTAAAGGCCGTGTTGGGGATATCAACCCGTCTCACCCTTAATTGGTGATAACCTGAACGAAGGTCAATCTTTGAAAAATAGCTAGCCCCTTGAAGTTGGTCAAACAAGTCATCAATTCTCATAAGGGGATATTTATACTTGATGATCACTTTGTTCAATTGATGATAAATCAATGCACATTCTAAGAGACCTATCCTTCTTCCTAACAAACAACACCAGAGCACCCCGTGTAGAGATACTAAGTCGGATAAAACCCTTGCCTAGCAAATCCCTTAATTGCTCTTTCAACTCCTTTAACTCCACCAGAGCCATTCTATAAGGAGAAAGGGAGATAGGTTGCGTATCCGGAAGGAGGTATATACCAAAATATATTTCCTGATCGGGAGGAATACCGGGCAAATCATCACGAAAGACTTCTGGAAATTCATTCACTACCAGAACCGACACTAGAGATGGTGTTTCAGACTCAACATCCATCACCCTAACAAGATGGTAAATACACCCTGTGGAGATCATCTTCCTAGATTTAAGGTAAGACACCAATTGACATCTAGGAATAGAATTTCTCCCCTTCCACTCTAAGATAGGCTCATTTTGAAATTGGAATCTAACAATCCGAGTCCTATAATCTATAAAGGCATGACATGCATGCAACCAATCCACACAAAAAATCACATCAAAATCTAACATGTCCAAATCCACCAAATCCACCAAAGTAACTCTATGAGACAAGTAAATGAGACAACTTCTATAAACTCTCTTTGCCACTACCGAGTCACCAACCGGGGTAGAAGCCGAAAAAGGTTCTACTAACACTTCAGGGAGTATTTCAAACTTAATGGCCACAAAAGGTGTCACAAAGGACAAAGTGGCATCTGGATCTAACAAGGCATATACATCAATAGAGATGACTTTTAACATACCAGTCACAACATCTTGGGAGCTCTCTTGGTCGCCTAGGGATTGAAGAGCATAAAAGCGGTTTTGGTTTTGAGCATTGGCATTGGAACCACTTGGAGTAGCTTGTTTATCTTTCCTTCCCTTGACCTTGAGCATTGGACAATATCTCATCTTGTAGCCAACCTTCCCACAACTAAAACACCCATCGGTACCAACAAGACACTTGAAATCATGCTTTTTACAACATCTTGCACAATTAGGCCTAGCAACATAAGAACAACCATAATTACATTCTTGAGGTTTAGGGTTGGAATCCTTATCCTTGTTGACACTTGGAGGAGCACTAGAAGAGCCTTGGTTGGAGAACCTTTTTTTGAACCTTGGTCGACCTTGTCCATCGAACCTAGCATTGGAAAAGTTCCCATCACCGATTCTAGCCCTTTTTACCTCTCTATTCCTCTTCTTGAGAATATACCATGAGCCTTGACATATCCATGTCATGATGGATCATTGCGGTACGTCATTCTTCTTGAACCAAGTCGGACACACCCGTCAAAAACCTATTCATCTCATCCCTCGAATCCACCACCATAGATGGAGCATACCTAACCTCCTCATTTGACATAGCAGAAGGATCAACCGGAGCTTGAGGAGCTTGGGGAGGAGACTTTTGATTGACATTCTCCTCATCCATCCTTCTAGCATTAGCCCTTCGTGTATTCATTTCTTGAAGACACAGGAAAAGGATTAGGAGAGGGACTTTATAGAGTCAAAACGCATTCCAAGTCTTAAGAAGTCTTTTATAAAATCAAAGAAGAATTCTAGACTTGTCTTAATTTGGCATCTATTAAAATAGTCGAATCGAATAGGGTCACAGCCCAGAACAACATAATCCGAAAGTGAAAGTTCAAGAAAGAAACTACAATGAATGAGTTTGTCCTCAAATCAGGAGGACTCACAAAGCAAGCAAGGAGAATGATAAATTCCAAGCTCTAGCCACAATGGAGACCACCTTGTTGACAGGACCCTACACTTGGGAAAAATGTTGGAAAATATGGGTTAGTACAAAAATGCACCAAGTATGATAGCCATGCAAAAAATCAAGAAATCATGCTAAAAAGGACATTTTAGTTGAGAAGCATGGGCTTTACCAAGTTTAGGAATCATCATGAAGATTAGTGTAAAAGAATAAGTCATAAGCATATTTAACTCATAGATCATCATATCATAAAAGGAACATACCATAGAAACATTCAAAGCATACTTGTGCAATGCATGGCTGAGATCCCATAATCCCATCCATACTAACTAGAACTTCTTATGTAACCATAGTTCATATTTCATATTCTTGTTCATATTAATGTACTAGTATAAGCTCTAACCGACATAGACCATGTGATCTAAGATGGAATCCGATGTCTACCCCACACCAAAAAATGGGTTGTTCTACTTGCCTAAGGTAGAACCATACTATTAGCATAGGTGGATCCTCTAGCTAAAGACCTATGTGGGCACATAGTTATGGGATAAGGAGATTGCTACTAGAAACCCGGACTCAACTAAGGTATAAGGTTTCCATTTCATGAGATACATACCTTTGGAACCCAAACTCAACTAAGGTAGAAGGAACCTATTGGGAAGTCGGACTCAACTATCGTATAAACTTCCATCTCATATTCATATCCACTCGGTGCTAAGCATTAATTCCCATAGATTACTTATTTAAGTCTTGACCTAAGTTCATATTCATGGAAGAATGTCTTAACACTCAATCCATCATAATTCATACTATTGCTCGTAGATTCAATGGGTGAGAATAACCTTTCAACCCTAGAATCATCATATTGTGAGAACATCTGTCACCTCATACCATATTAATACATAAATGTGTACATAAGGATAATCATCCAACAACACAACAACTACATCATAATCATATTCACTTTACTCTCAAAGTGTTCATAAAGCATATTCATAAATCTCATAGTTATGCGTAATTCTCATACTTTGCCCTTCAAGGGCCATAGATCACAATTTCATCAACACATCTAGAATCACTACATTAGACATGGATATTAACATGATTCAATTAACCCAATTACTAAAGGCATAATCTCATAATATTTTTCTACAATCAACAAACCCATACCATAAGATCATAATTGGGGAATATGGGGTTTCATGGGTTCTTGGGGGAATTCAACATAAAAACTATAGGAAATCATCAATTTATATATAATATATCATCAATAAAACATTAGAAATGTTTTTTAAAAAGAACCCATGGGATTGAAGTCAAGCCCTCACTTTTGGGTAATTCACTAGTTTTGAAATTGAGTTTGGACGGACTCCATGGATGAATGACTACCATACCTTAACGGCGGAATCCAATGAATTTGGTGAGATGAACTTGGTTCTTGAACCCTAACTCCACCTTCTTCCTACTTTTTCTCCGTTAAAGTTCTAGAAAGAGAATTTTCTTTGGAGGGGTTGAAGTTTTGGGTTTTCTTTATATTCTAGGAAGAATGACTTAATTGGGGGAAGTTTGAGTCTAAAAAGCTTATATACATTACTAGGGAAAGAGTAAAACAATGTAGTATCAATTTAGGGAAAATAACAAAAGACCTCTATGACTACTATTTAAAAACTATAGACCTGCAAGTTTTAGCTAGCCAAGGGCACTTGGCGAGTCTCCAAGTGGTCACTTGGCTCGCCGAAATTTCCAGTATGCTCAACATA